CACATGGTTACATCAGCAGCCTCCCCATATATGTGGTACTTTTTCAGGCCACATGCCACTTACTTACAGTTGACCCTTGAGCAGCATGGGTTTGAACCACACACAGCCATTTACACAGAGATTTTCTTTGGCCTCTGCTACCCCTGAAAAAGTGACACCAATCCCTTCTTTTCCTCCTCCTCCTCAGCCTGCTTAAGATGAGGATGAAGACCTTTATAATGCTCCATTTCCACTTAATGAGTAAATACATTTCTCTCGCTTATTATTTTCTCAATAGCACTTTTTTCCCTCTGGCCTACTTCACTGAAGAATATAGCACGTGACACATCTGTGCAGTGTGGGTAAACTAAAACATAAAAATAAAATAAAAAATACAGAATATAATATATACATGTATTATATTACGTATTCATTGACTGTATGTGTTATTGGTAAAGCTTCAGTGAACAGTAGGCTATTAGTAGTTAAATTTTGAGGAAGAAGTCAAAAGTTACATGCAAATTTTCACCTGTAAGGAGTTTCAGTTGAAACTTGTTCAGCTCCAGCCTCCCCATCTCCCCATTGCAGCTGCTCCTCCTGCCCTGGTGGCAGCACCCTGCCTTCCCTGCCCTTGCAGGAGCCTGTGGTGGGCCCTGAGGGGCAGCAGGGAGCAGTGGTGAGGAATTCAGCTTTCCCATGCCTAATCATCTCAGCCCACCACGTGCCCTGAGGAAGTCTTGGAGAACCCTTGACCATGCCCACCATCTTGCTGGCTCATACTTGTCTTTTTGTGGAGCACTGACTGGCAAATCTGCAGGACACCAGTGGCCCTTTGTCCCTTCCTGGCCTCGATGGCTCCCTGCCCTGTGCCCTGTCTCCCTTCCTGGCATCTGTGCCCTGACCCACTTCTTGGGCCCACCTCCAGCAGTCCTGGATCTGGCCCTTCTAGCCCTGAGCACTTCAGGGGACTCTTAGCCTTCAATGATCATCTCCCTGGGGACCCTCCAATCATGGAGCCTCTTGCCTGGGTCCCCTGCACCTCAGCCCTGCCCTGTTCTGGACACTCCTGTCCCCTGGGCTGGCAGAACTGCCTAACTTCCCCTGAGGAATAGTTCCCCACCTATGGCCACCCACCCAGATGGCAAAGCTGGGACCTGGGCCAGGCCTTGCCTCACCCCAACATTGTCCCATCCTGAGTCCCTGATCCTGCCCCCTCCACACCTTTCAGGGTGTGTACTCCCGGGAAACCCAGCTCCGATTCTGTGCCTGCATCACAGAAGCCCATGAAGGACCCTGTATCCCCTGTCCATTGTCCTTCCAGGCACAGTCCAGGGTCTGGAGCCTTCAACCTTTCCTTGGTCCACACCCTCTAAGGCCAAGTCTAAGCTCCTGGTGGCTTGTCACCACCTGAGCACCTCCTCTTACTCCTACACCCTGTCTCCCATTGGGGGAATAGCCATCCCATCCAGGCTGGGATAGGCACTTTCCCAGGGAGGCCCCAGGCAGAGAAAGGAGTTGCTAACCTGCAGGCTGCTCTATGCCCAGGCTGGTCTATGACCCCTTCAGCATCTTTCCCTCCAGGCTGCCCATCCTCACTAGGGGAGCCTGCTGGGCCAGGAGCCTGCTAGGTCCTCCTGGGTGAGCCAGGGGCTCATGTACCCCCCTGGATTTATCCCGCCCCCTCACCCCTGTGGGCTCTGGCCCTTGCGGAGACGGGACCATGGGCTTTATCTCTGCACCCCCATCTCATGAGTGTGTGCAGCCCCAGTGGTCTCCACTCAGCTCATCTGATGAGCATGAAAGAGGGGCTAACTGTGCCCACCCGCATGGGAGGGGCCTGCTTTACTCAGGCGGCCAATTCTGACACTAATCTCACCCAGAAATGCCCTCACAGACACCTGGAATCATATCTGACCTGGGCACCCTGGAGCCCAATCAGATTGACATGTAAATTAACCTGCACGATATCTTGATTATGCCCAACTCATGCCCCTTGCCTGCTGTCACGCTGGGACTTATGGGCTGTCCTGCTGAGATGGACACCTGAACAGCAGGCACACAAATGACCAAAAGGACCCTCACATATCAATTTAAATGCCAGATGCAGCACCACGTGTTTCAGACTCACACGGCCCTGAAGGTTGAGGAGAGCTGGCCACACAGGTTACTAGTGGGGAGCTGGGACCTGAACTCAGGCCTAGCTGGCATCTGAGCCAAAGCTTCCCACCACTGTGCAGTGACTCAGGCATGCACCAGGCCCAGGCACCTATGACTTCCCACTGTCTGATGACAGGAACAAGGACGCCACCATGCCAGGCGCTGCATGACATTGCGGTGACAGACACCACCCCTCACCCCCTAAAGCAGGCGTCCCCAGACTTTTTACACAGGGGGCCAGTTCACTGTCCCTCAGACCGTTGGAGGGCCGCCACATACTGTGCTCCTCTCACTGACCACCAATGAAAGAGGTGCCCCTTCCTGTAGTGCGGCGGGGGTGGGGGGCGGATAAATGGCCTCAGGGGGCCGCATGCAGCCCGCAGGCCGGGTCGTAGTTTGGGGACACCTGCCCTAAAGACTCTAGACCAGGTCTCTAGCATCCTGTAGCTGGCAGGTTATATTTATTTCTGCCTTTACTTATCTGAATAAATTTGTAGCAGCTCACAACATAACACAAAGATAAGAAAACTGAAACCATCACAACTAGACAATGGTTGTGTGTGTTTATGTAATCATATCACACGGATAACACTTTGTAGGCTTACAAGTGTGTATAACACACATACACATACGCACACACACTCCAGGTCTGCCTAGATTTCCAACAAAAATGGTGCCGGTGCAGCGCCTGATCAGCTAGGCAGGGGCCATCTGCCTGTGATGGGAAGGCCAGGAAAGAAAACAGCAGCCTGAGCCTTCAATGATTTCTTAAGGACATGTCTCTAAATGATTTAGTCCCTTCCTGAGACACTGCCCATGAATTGATGACCTCTGCTTTTCCTTTCTCTCGTCTGATGAGCAATGGCTCTTCTGACAGGCCAGTAAATTTCTCTCATTGCTTCTGCTAAGAAATTTTTTTTTTTTGAGATGCTGAGGGGAAAGTGCTTTCCTGCAAGCACTCTGCACCCCGCCCCCTTCCTCTCCACAGTGGAAGGAAGGACGAGCTGGTGGCAGAGCTCCGGGGATGAGCCAAGTCCCGTTAAATTAAAACAAATGCCGGCGACTTCCCGATGGTGACTCATACACAAGGAGGCCGCAGATAGGGGACGCACAGCTGGCTGCCTTCCGAACGCTCTCCAGGCCCGCCATGAAGTGACCATGAGTGGAGCACTTCCTGGCCTTCTGCCCCACCCAGAGAACCCCAAATCTCCACATTCACCTCTGAAGGGGGCAAGAGGATGCTAGAAGGACCTATCCGGAACCTCACTCCACCTCCCAGAGTTACAACCATCCACCAAACGCATGCCTACCATGCATTTCTGCGGGCCAGGCACACAGCAAGCTTATGCCTGCCGGATGCCGGGGAGTCCTCCAGGATGCACCACCAAGAAGTGCTGTGCAGAGCTCTGGAGACTGATTGCAGCAGCCAGCCAGGGAAGGCTGGAGGAGGAGGGGACGGGTGCAGGATCAAGAGCATTGTGACAGGCAAGGAAGGCAACCTAAGGGAAGGTGCGGTGGGCAGGGGGCTGAGCCCACACTGACCTGGCCACTCTGTGGGGTGGTCTGGAGACCCCAGAGGCACAGGGAGGGCACTGGGTGAGCACATCCTCCAGCCAGGTTAGTAGTCTAGCCTTCCCGTCTCTGCCTGGGTGCTGGGAAGCTGTGTACGAAGACCCTTCCTATTGCCATCAGGTTTCAACCCATATGTCTGGCCACCTGCTCTGCCTGCCTGTGGGGAAAAGCAGGAGCTGAGGTCTCAGGTGTGGGCAGGATCTGGGACGGCCTGGATGGCCTTGGTGAGAATTCAGGGGTGGCCACCCCTGGGGCTAAGCTGGGAACTCCCCTCTGTGGCCCCTCAGGCCTGGGAGACTGGTGCAGTGTCCCCAGCCCTACCCCAGCTGTCTGGCTACCCCCAGCTCCCAAGCCTGCTGGGGAGAGGCCCTGAGTGGGAATGAAGCAAAATGCCAGTGTCCAGGCACAGGCCCCCAGTGCCCAAGACCTGCCCAAGAGACCGCACCCAGCCGGAGCAGCTCCTGGGCCTCCGGACTCGGGGTTGGGGGTGGTGTTCTCCCAGGGAGGCCAGCCAGGGACTCAAGGGACATTCCCCTTTTGGAACCAGGGCCGTGACTGACTAGAACACAATCTGAACTTCTGAGTGGACAAAAAATAAACAAAAATAAGATGGAAACAGGCCAGAAAGACACTTGTATCAAATATGACAGACCAATAGCTAACATTATTATACATTAAAAATTCCCTTGCATTTTAAGGAATTCAAGTTCTGGATTGATAAAGGCATGATGGGTATGAATAGATCATTCATGGATGAAATACAAACAGTAACAAAACCAAGACTGCAACCCAAAGTGGGGCGAACTGCTCAGCCACCACAGCCGTCAAGGAAACTCAGACAGAGGGAGAAGGTGCAGTTTTATACCAAGCTAGTATTATCACGGCAAAGCCAACAGCAGCGAGTGTGGGTGCAGGAGCCAGGCCGGGGCACTGGCCTGGGAGGCTATGGCCCACAGTTCACTGCATTCACCATCTGACTGGAGCGGTCATTCCACACTTGGGGGTTCACCCATGGAAATGATTGGGAAAGAGAAAAGCTGCGTGCACTGCTAGGCCCACCAGGACACTGTCTTCATCAGTAAAAATTAGAACAATCTGCATGAGTCCTAGCGAGAGGTTATGGAGGAAGCCTCGAGACAGGAGCAGCTGTTAAGCCTCTTTCTGGCACCAGGTTAGGGGCAAAGCCCTCAGACAGACAGAGGTGTCTGACATTGCCCTAGTGATGGGTCAAGATGGCCAAGGAGCATGACAGCAGCGGCCAGCAAGGAAGCCTTCCCTCGTATGCAGGAGGCTTCGCCACATCCTGTTTATTCCAGTGTCCACGTCACAGCCTGTGGCTGTGATAACCCTGCAGGCATGTGCTCCCTGGAATATGTTCCTGGTTGCCCTCTGAGGAGCAGGGTCCTCCTCTTCCTTCCCAGCCCACACCCCGTAGCCCAAATCCTTGGCAGAAGGCCCTGTCACAGCCCGTCATCATCCACTCACTCTACGCATCAGCTCCTTCAGGAAAGAGTGTCCAGCTGTCAGCACCAGTGGGCAAAATGTACAGAAATCAGGCAGCCTCATGCGATAAAGAAGGGAGAGACCGGGCTGCACCCGAGAGCCAGTCCAAGGAAAGTAGGTCCGGGGTGGAGCATAAAGCTTGGCACTGAGCTTCCTGGCAGCCAAGGTTAAAAGGGAAAAAGATCTACGACAACCTTTCTCAACTAGGACGAAAAGCCATGCTTATTTCTTGGGAAAGACCTTATCATGTGCTTGCTTAGATAAAGGTTCTGAGGACATCCTGGGGTCTCCAGCTGTTTCCCACCTAACTTGAGAATGCTCTTCCATGACCTGATCTCACCTCAGCCTCATCCAAATGCCCTTAAGTTCTGGTTCTGTGACACATTTCCATAGAGACCTTTGTGACGTCATCAAGGCAGGCCACTCTGAACTATTCCGAATGTGGCTATGGTCTGGAGTGGGTGGCTGTCACAGCCATGGCCCCTGGCTCCCTGATACCACCTTGGGTTTCATCCCGTGAAGAGCATTAGCATGGGGCGGGGGGCGCCTACTCGCTTGTGGGTCCCAGTCACTTCTGGGACAAGAGACCTTGCTGCTTCATGCCTGAATGCACCCAGGGACTGGCTAGCAGGAGGCAGAGGGAGGAGGGTGTCAGCCCAAGCAGCTGCACCATGCACAGGAGACGCTGGACCAGCTTCCAGGAATGATCTTGTCTTCTCCCGGCACAGCCCCTCGCGGACAAGGCATCCACGCCATCCGTTTCTCCCAGGGCAGGTCACTGAGCCTCCTGCAGCCCCGCTTCCCCCAGGGTCGCCCAGGTGTGGGGAGCACACGCAGGACAGTCGTTTTAGGAATTGGATGATAGTGACGCTCCTGGCATGTAGTAGGCCCAGCACGTGGCTGCGGCACTTTTATCTGACTGCCTGGGTTCCATCTCAACTCCCAGAGAGTGAACATACCACCTCTCATCTCAGGACTGGTGCTCTCCAAAGAATTAAGTAGGAAATTGAGAGTGAGACTTAGGGGGCGGGTGGGCAGAAATCAGTGACGGCACAGCCGTGCCACGGTGACCATCCCAGCCATCATCTCCCGTGTCTCCTCCTCCTCAAGGTCTCCAAAGCCTCATGTCGGGTTCTCCAACAGCTGCTCTCTGTGGTGGGAGGGTGGGCACCGGGTGGCTTTGTGAGTGATTCCACTGAAGCCCGGGAGATGACGTCTGTCCAGGGACCCTCAGCCCGGAGCTCAGGCTCTGGGAAGCTCTGCAGCGGACAGCCAACCTCACTGGGCATCTCTTCTCTGTCTGCTCTGCTCACAAAAACCTGCCTGGCACTATCCAAAAGATGTAGTGAGCAAGGAGGCCAGGCCAGTCCTTCCCGGCCCCACGGAAGCCAGCTCAGCAGGACCCCACATGGAGGGGCTCCTGTGACCACGAGCAAAGGGGGCCCATCAGGCCATGCCCAGCCCCCAGGACACACACGAGAAGGGTTTCTTTCCAATACCTGCGGCCGGGCTCCTCTGCTCAGCCATACTGTTCACCCTGCTGCAGGGAGCAGGCACCCTGTGGCCTGTCTCCCGCTTCTTGTCCTCACTCTGAGGCCACAGAAACCTGCCCTGTAGCGTCCTCACACTCAACCCTGCCCTGCTGGGAAAACTTAGACCCTCAGCTCAACTCAGGCCCCTGGACACACTCCCCCGGCCACAGCTCCCAATCCTTGCTGCCTGGAAGGCCCTGTCCCATGTTTCACATTTGCTAAGCAGAGTCCCCTCTGAGCTCTGCCCTGTGGGGGGAGCTGGGGGAGGGAGCAGGAAAGTTGAGGAGCAGCATTGCCCCCAGCCCTCCTGGATCCACTTCCCAGAGCGCTCCCTGACCCCACCAGCCGCTTCCACCGACTCCAGTGCAGGCCAGTGACAGCGACTGTGACAGCTCTGGTAATCCTGGGAGAACTCCCAGAAGCAAACACAGCGCTCGGGTTCTGATTGCAGCTGATTACCACATTAGAGAGAATATCTGGATTCTCCCCTAATTTCCTCTCTGAAAATTTTCGGTTAAGAGCCTAACCTTCATGGAAAATGGCTGCTTTCTGGAGTATTCTCAGCAGTGCTGTTTCCTCATTGCTAAGTGCTTTTTCTAGACAGATACAGGCGCTCCATGATTCCAAATAAAATCAGAGCTGAGGAGCTTACCCCAAGAAGGGAGGAGGGCAGAGCAGCAATGGGCTGCGCCCCAGAGCCCTCCCTGCTGCTGGAGACACCCGGTGGGTGGAGGGTCTCTTGGGCCCTTCCAGCCTGCAGAGCTGCTGAGAGCCAGGCCCGGCCGCCAACAAAGCAGCTGAAGTCTTGAGAAAACTTCCTGATTGCATTAGCGAGGTCGCACCACCAGGACATAATCAAATCTCCCAGGAGGACGTGGCTTCCGGAAGGGCTGCCGCGCCGGGTGGCAGAACCAGGGCAACCAGGGTCAGACGCGGCGGAAGGAGGGAAGTCCCAGGGCTGAGCACGGGCAGGCGTCAGAGGGGTGTAGGCCACGCCATCTGGGTGCAGGGGCTGGCGGACAGTGTGGGACCACCCAGCCCAGGGCCAAACTTTCCCAGTGGTCACGTACAGACACCTGGCACATGTCATGGGGCAGCGGTCCCACATCATAGGCTCTCCTGGTGTTAGCAGTCAGGAGGGTGCCTAGAAAAGCCCCACGGCCACAGGGACAGCAGCATCTGAGCCCGCCCTCCACACCGGGAGGCTGCCCAGGGACAGCAGCATCTGAGCCCGCCCTCCACGCCAGGAGGCTGCCCAGCACCTTAGGCAGGGCCCAGGCACCCTGCTCAGGAAGGAGCTCTGGTTCCAGCTTGGCCTTCCTACTTCTACCCCATCTGTGCCTCCGTCGACCAGGAAGATGGTTGTGAGGACCACAGAAAACCCCCACACAGAGCTGGCACAAAGGAGTTAAGCCCGTGGGAGCTTCGGCATCCTCAGGCCAGGCGGGCCTTGGCTCTTTCACCTTCTGGCTGGAGGACCTTGAGGCACCTACTTGAGCCTCTCAGGGGCTCAGCATCCTCATCTGTGGGATGGGGATAATAATAGGGTTGTTTTGAGAGTCAAAGCACAAAACACAGAGCCTGGCTGGAGGAAGCGCAGGTAGCCTGGTCAGCCGAGGCTGAGTTAAGTGTTGTTCTTAAAAAAGCCACCAGACCATTCCCCGAAGGCGTCAGTGCTGGCAGGAGGGAACCTGCACTCTGCAGTCTCAACACCTCCTGCACTCTGCAGTCTCAACACCGAAGAACACAATTCCTGCTAACCTGACCCGCAAAAGGCAAAGAGATGCACCCAAGACCCGGGACCAGCGTCCCACAACAATGCCTCCTGGTTTCTTCTCTAAGAATACTTCTTAAAAGTTCCGGAGAAAACTCACTCATATTCCCAATGAATGGCCCACGGAAGGAAGGTGTGCTCAACAAATGTGTAAATGCAGGGATGAATGAAGACACCCAAAGTCACAAAACAGCTCAGTCACCTCCGACATGCTCGGGGGCTATATCCACCTCCAACCTCTGCCCAGTTCACTCTCCTCCACCAGGATTCCCCTCTTGCCCTGGCGCTCTAGAAATTGTTTGCTGTCCAGGAGGCTTCCTCTCTCTGCTCCACAGCCCCCGAGCCTGGTGCCTCTCTGCATGTGTGTCCACCTTGGCCGCTAAGTTCCAGGAGCAAGCATCTGTCCTGCTCATCCTGACTCAGCAGAGAGGGCCGAGCTCTGGAGCCTGAGAGGACCCAGTCCTGCCCCATGGCCTCCGTGTCCTCCTCACCCTCGACTCACCGAGGAGCCCTGCGGACATGAGAACTGGAACATGCCTGGGACTCACGTCAGGACCTGGCACACACCAAGCACCCAGTGAATGCTCAATGACTGAGGACAGTATCGTTTCTTCAAAAAGGAGCGTCGCCGGGCGCGGTGGCTCAAGCCTGTAATCCCAGCACTTTGGGAGGCCGAGGCGGGTGGATCACGAGGTCGAGAGATCGAGACCATCCTGGTCAACATGGTGAAACCCCGTCTCTACTAAAAATACAAAAAATTAGCTGGGCATGGTGGTGCGTGCCTGTAATCCCAGCTACTCAGGAGGCTGAGGCAGGAGAATTGCCTGAACCCAGGAGGCAGAGGTTGCGGTGAGCCGAGATCGAGCCATTGCACTCCAGCCTGGGTAACAAGAGCGAAACTCCGTCTCAAAAAAAAAAAAAAAAAAAAAGGAGCGTCAACCAGAGACGATTTTTAAAAGATGGGTTTTGATGGAGGCCTGAAGGATGAGCCAGGATGGGCAAGGTGAGGGCAGACTCAAACTGCAGCGCTGAGAAGGCTCTAGGTGCATGTGTGCCTGTGCACGTGGATGTGCCTGTGCATGTGTGTGTGTGCATGCGCCTTGCAGCCTTACATGTGTGTGTGCATATGTCTGTTTGTGTTCATATGAGCATGCGTTTGTGTGGGGGCAGATAATTTCAGACTCTGCCCTGAATCTGAAATCAGTGGGACAGATGACCTTGAACAAGCCCTTGTGGTTCATTTAGTGTGAGCCAGACTCTATAGAGACAGTGACGGCAGGACCCTTGTGGGGGTCCACCTTCCCAGAGCTGGAGCCCGAATAGCTCCAGGACTTCAAGGGAAGCCCAGGGGCTCAGAGTCCCAAGTGGACCATCCATATGATAGACCCAAAGAGACTTCAGTGGCTTCTCTGTTAAGATTTGAAGGGAAGTGGGCCCAGGGGCAGGGCTGGCTGGGTGCAGGATGGAGACAGTGACATCCTTGGTCTTGGGTAGCCCCTGCTGGCCCCAGTGAATCCTCAGCAGATGGGGTGACAATGGTGACACTACCTCTGGTGCGAGGCCCAAGGGAAATTCACATAACACACTTGACTGGGATTGGTGTGTGGAAAGCTCCCCACTGACGTGAGCAGTGGTGGTGAGGATAGAGGGAAGGTGAAGATGAAGGCGACAGCGTGGGCAGAGCAAGAGCATGGCTGTGGCAGGGAGGCCCGTGGCCAGCCTCAGCGCAGGACCGAATGTGGACCAATTAACTACCTGTTCACAAGCCTTTTCTTTATTTTATTTTTGCCTTTTTTCCTTAAATTTAAAGTGTGAGTCCATCTGGACCTTATTTTAAAGCATAATATGAGGACTGACATTGACCTGTTTTTTACATGGAATAACTAGTCCCAATGCTGCTTGTGGGTAACCCCGCTCTGTTTCAAGAGCACCCCCACTGTCATGCACCCACGGGCCCATACCCCTGGGCTCTCCATCTCAACACTCTCCTGTCTGTGGCACCTCGTTCCCAAGGGCCAGCTTCACCCAGGGCCCAGCTGCCCCCTCAGTGGCCAGTGCGTTCCTTTCGTGATGTCTCAGATTTCCCTCATTCTCCAGCACTCTCTTCAAATTCCTGACCTCGCTCGGCTCCTCCCCTGAGGCGCAGCCCCCAGCTTCCTCACTCCAAGAGCCTCGGGCCCCAGAAACAGGAACCCCAAGGTGCATCTGGATGGTGGCTTCTCTCCTGGCCAACAAATGCCTGTCACTGGCTGCCCTGCCAGCATCTCCCCTCAACTCCTCGGCTCCACCCTGGGCCTTAACACACACGTGCACAGTACACACACGTACACACACATGTACACACAGACATGCACACAAATGCACATATAGACCTACACAGACACATACATGTGCATTCACAGATGTGTACACACACACATGTGCACACTCATGTGTTATGCTAAAAAAATCTATTTTGTGTAGAAGACCTCAGGCTCAATATGTGTCCAAAGTCACACAGCTACGGAGCAGCAGAACTCAGGTCTGTGTGCACACGGCCCCTGACTTACTGCAGTTTCACGTAATAGTTTCCAACTTCATGACAGTGCAAAAGCCATCTACAGTCAGCAGAAACCCGTGTTTGAGTCCCACACGGCCACTCGGTTTTTTCCTTTCAGTACAGTAGTCAATGATTACACGAAGTGTCCAACACTTGACTACAAAACAGGCTTCGTGTTGATGTTTCTGCCCACCGGAGGCTCAGGGCAGCGTTCCCAGAGGGCCAAGGTCGGGCCTGCACCGTGCTGTTCGGTATTCAGGTGGACTCAGTCATTTTCCACTCGCAGTGGCCTCATCGGGCGGCAGCCAGGGGTAAGTTGAGCAGCGTCTGTACTTTTAGCCACTCTGGGTATTTTTAAGTAGCAGATTAAAAAAAAAAAAAATACAAGGTTCCAAATAGCAGGGAAATAAAAGGAGAGAATCCATGTTGCGGTGACCATGCCTGGGAGCATAAGCACTACGGGGGCACCAGCAGGCACGATTGGCAGTCGTTCCTGCTCTCCCTGCCAGCAGCGGCCTGGGCCTGAGACCGGCCGCCCTGGCCACAGCCCGAGGGGAGGCTGCGGGGACCCCGGAGTGGCTCCGCGTTCGCGTGTCTGCGGCGCCACCTCGTGGCCGCTGCAGGGAACGCCGCGTGCTGCGGGCGGGGAAGGCCGCGGGTCTCCAAGAGCGGGAGCAGGCGCATGAGCACAGCGGCGCTCGCCCCAGGGGGCTGGCCCTCCAAACTCCCAGGGCCGTGCGAGGAAGGCGGTCCCCAGCCTCCTGAGAGCTGCGCTGTCCTCTCAGCACACACACGCGCACTCACACCTGCATATGTGCATCCTCGGGCACGCTGACGCGTTCACTTATGCACACACGTGTGCACACGCACCGTCTTTCACGCTCGTGTGCACACGCACACAGTCCCTCCTCTTCGAGCCTGGAAGCCTCGCTGGGCTCATAGCAGGTGGAAACCGCTACCGTGGCAGAGACCAAGGGCCGGGCCAGGATGCACGCGTTTATTTCAGACGCGAAAACCCGAGGCCGGAAAGAGATAGTTGGTGTCCAAACCACGCATCTGCTGACCGCATCTCCTGTGTGCAGCCGGGCCGGGTGTGAGAGCAGCGGGCCACCATGTGCCTGGCCCGCCCCTGGGCCTTGAGCCGCTGCCTCAGGAGCCCCTGGCAGCCGCAGCGAGGGCGCACCCAGCGCCCCAGGGTCCCGTGGAGCCAGGCGTCCGGCACACAGGCGCGGTGGAGTCTCGGAGTGGGCATACGCCCCGCGAGCTCGCGGGGGCCGGGCACTGCGGGTCCTCGGGTGGGGACTCTGGAGTTGAGTCTTGAAGGGGGAAGTCACTGAGGATCAGGGAACCAGGAGGACAGGGAGGGTGAGGAGGAGTGCCTAGACCTGGAGAGAGAAGCGTGTGAAAGGCCCCTAAGAGGGCTGGGGGTGAACAAGCGCTTGGCTGGCCTCTCCTAGCAGACTGCGCTGGCGTCCCGGAGCCTCCCTTCTCCAAGACCCCA